TTTGGCTGTTCAATAGCCTTGGGTTCGCCATCACAAAAATCACAATAAAATCACCAATTTTTTTAGTTTTCACCAATTAGTTTAGTTTAGAATCATAAAAAAATCACAAATTGTAAAATTTTGCCCCTGTAATTGGTTTTACCGCATTTTTTAACAAACGAAAATTTTACAAAAGCCAAAAAGTTTCACAACTGAGGTTAGTTCAAGAAAAAAAGATTCTCAAATCTTCCCCGTCGTCTCCATGGATTCGAATTTATTTAGTATTCAAGCCGACAATGTCGCCACCTTCTAATTTTTTTGCAAAGGGAATGGACTTTTGGGCATTTTTGTCTTTGGCCAAAAAACCAGTATTGGACATTTTTACAATATGGACATTCTCAACTCTGGACATTCTTGCTTGTTGGACATTTTTTTTTGGACATTTTGACCTATCACCTAATTGGACGGAATCTTTAAAATTAATTTACATTTAACGTTCATGAATCAATATTTTCTCCCTACTTTTGCAAAAATTAACAATTGATACAAATAGCAAAGACGTGAAAATAGTACGTATATGTGTCCAACATTTTAGTTATTTGACATGCTTTTTCAACACATTCATGTTGGATTTTTCTCCTCTAAAATTTCAAATAATCAAAACCCCTCCAAGGTATTTGAAAATGATAAATAGCACCAATCAAATTCGATTAAAATAATTTCTAATGGACAAAATCAAGAATACGCGTAAGGAGGCTGTTCGGTCAAATTTACCAGAAATATAGTTTATCCAAAAATTGCAACGATATCGCAATTTAGTGATCCAAAAGTGAGAGATGATGTGCCATCAAATCTTGATCTTCATGTTATGAGAACATTTTCTATTTGATCCAGAAATTTGACAGTTTTTTTAAAGTCATAAGTAAAGCCCAGAAGAATTACTTTTTTTATATTTTTTGATGATAATACTCGTGTCATTTAAACTATTCATTTTGAGATATATATAGTTGACTTTAACGAGGGAGAGTTTGGCAGTTTTTCTCGAGAGGGAGCCAAGTGACATTACCTGTTGGCAAATTTCATTGGGAAATTTATTTTTTATGAAGGAACGATGGTTCCCTCTTCTCTTGGACATTTCAAGATAGTTACTGTGCGACATAGAGAAAATCTCCTGACATTTTCGCAAGCACTGGTACAACAGTCCATTAACCTCTACGAGGGTCTGTGACAGCATGAAAAATTAGAAAGAAAAAAACATCACTCGTTATTGCTGGGGAAAAGCTAAAACTAAAAAAGAAACATGAAATATTTCCATCTCTAGGGTTCCGCTTCCAATCTTTTTGAAGCATAAGTGCCAAAACGTCAGCTACAAGGTTAAGCATTTTAACAACACATTCACATTTACTTGAAAAGCAATACATGCGTCAATGTAAAAAGGAGAAAATGGATGCCATGCGCAATCCCCTTTTATTTCCAGTTTCAGAGCAGACACCAAGAGGTGTTGTGCTCAGCAATATCACTCTACTTTTATTTGTTACCCAACTGTTTTTTGCTTACATCGGCCTTTTAATTCTTTTCCTATTTTCACAGTTTCGTAACACCTTTTCCCGAGTAAAAAAAGTGAAACGCATTTGTGAATCTTCTTTTTGAGGTTGACCAATTATTTTGACGTTGTTGCGACCTGTGGCATTTTATTTTCTTTTGCGTGCAAAAATCCTGTAAAATTCAAGAAAATTATATCCATTTCTAGTTCTTTGTGCCATGACGCATCCTATTCTTACGATTATTATCATAGTTTTTCTGGAAACTACCTCTTGTCAAGTGATGGGTTCGTACTATCATTTCTTTCTTTTTACTCTTTTTTCAAAAGGATGTACCTTGAGTGCAATATTAGTCTAGTAATTCTCATAAACGAGACATTCCATTCTTAGAAGGAGCATATATATCAGTCGATCCAAGCAGGAGAGGAAGAAAAATTGAGATGGAAATTCGAACAGAGACACTGATTAGGAATCATCCTTGGTAACGAAAAACTGCGTATAGTGACCATATGTTAGGGATAATAAATACTACTGTTTTACGCTGTTGCTTTCTTCTTTTATGAACAAAAAAGTTTTCAGCTATACAATTAGCTTCATAACTTCAGCTTTAAAACAGGCTGGATACACCAGGAATTTGATTGAACAAATATTTGACCAAATTGCAGGGAACCAGTGCATCTCTTTTTTACTTCCTATAAGCTCCGAGACCTCTTAAATTTGCATATTTGGTAACGCTTAGTTCCAGCGTTTTACCGGGCCGATTTTTATGATTTTTGCAGCTGTTGACAGGCAATTGTCACCAGATGAACCCACTTTATTCAGATTTTAAAAATAGGACCTATAGGTTTTTTTTTTATATTGCGTGGTAAAGTTACGTATTCTCCCATTAAAACAATGTATTTTTTTATTATTGGTCACAGTTCGTTTGAGCTTTCTCCTAAGTCGATTTCCATGATTTTTGCGGGTATTATCAGGTGACAGTTCTTAGATGAGCCCTTTGTACAGGGCCGGATTTACTTACTTGCCGCCCATGGGCCGCCTGTATTTTGCCGTCCCCTTCTCATTCGTTTTGAAACATCAATAAAAACCATCAAGTGAACGTGTCGGAGGGGGACTGGGGGAGGGCTACATAAGACGCGTTTACCTACTCATGTTTGATACATTTTTTGCGAAAGCCCTGTCAACACTAGTAGCGAAATTTCACGGATCTTTGCGCAAAAGTTAAGTTCCGTAAACCTATCTCTGCGTAGACAATGTCCTCCATCAATAAGAAATGAACCAAAAAATTATGAAAGAACAAACATAAATGTGGTTTAATAATTATTTTAACTTCCACCGCCGCGCTGATTGCACTATGTTTGGCGTAATGCGTGAAGCATTCTTGCAGTCTTGTAGGCGCTATGCGTTTCACGCTAACCGCTCCTGACCGCACTTTGTTTGGCGCAATGGGTGAAGTATTCATGCAGTCTTGTAGGCGCTAATATGTGTTTTATGCCAACCGCCGCGCCAAGGGCTTGCCCTTTTCATCTCAAGTCCTCGTCATCATTCCTCTCTGCGCTGAGCTCCAGGCCAAATTGCGTGATTAGTTCGTCTCTTGACTCGACTAATTAAAGATGCTAGCTGTCTCTTGTAGCACCAAAAAACGACAAAATAAGAAATTACTATACTCTCAGGAAAGAGAGATTTTCCCCCCTTTTCTGGTTGATAGTTTTTTTTTTAGTCCAATTTTTTTCTACTTACATTTAAAATAAATGCAAAATTTGCCGCCCCCTTTTGCCGCCATGCAGCCCATGTGGCCACCCCCTTAATCCAGCCCTGCCGCTGTAATCAGATTTTGGAAACAGGACCTAGGTTTTTTTTATGTAAGAGTTGACCAGGGAGCATTGAAAGGGGGGAAGAATTTAGCGGAAATGTTGAATCTTGGTCTATAAGTAGGGTAAGGTAAGTGATTGAAGGTATGTTTCTTTACTACAGACCGTTCAAAAGCGACGAAACGCTGTGTGCCGTTCGTTTCGTTCCGTTTTAGTTTTCACGGGAAGTTTAAAATTAATCCCGATTTTTCTGATTCTTATTAGTCCAAACCCTTCCGGCCAGAAGAAGATTTAATAATTGAGAGTCGGATCAGAAAATCTTGTAATTTTTTTTTTGTTTTTTTTTTGTCGTTCTTTTGTCGAAGTGGGCCTAAGAGANCGAAGCGCCAACTGGGGGTTGGGCCGCGTAGCGGCCAGGGGGAATACCCCCTGATAATATTTTAAACAGGTAGATTCTTACTTCACTTCAAGAATTTTCCTAACGTCACGGAAGCAATACCTTGAAACTTTCAAAAAAATCTATTCATCTGATCTGTAAAGAAATAAATTGTCCGATAAAATTTGAAAACGGCGAATATGACTTGGTCCCTCTCTGCTTAATGCGATCCGATGATTGCGTGAGAAATATAGATGATCGAGATGAGAATGGGCCTGTTGCATGCAAGAGATACAGCCGCGCGAATAGACTTTTTAGAGGTTAAATGAAACGAAAATTACGATGGTCACATTAAAAAAGTCTGAAATACACTCCTTACTGCGCAATTTGCGTTGTTAGGAACGTGCTTTTTCAAATTTCCCGCGTCTAGGGGCAGTTTTCTAATCACCGGAAACGAGCAAACGGCGGGCTTCGGTGATTTCCGGAAGATGCCGAGTCGTTGTTGTTGTTGTTGTTGTTGTTGTTGTTATTTTTTCCTTCAGTTTGTTTCCAACCCAACGTGATCTCTCATAGTGGTCCATATACGCGTTATGCGGTAACCAAATCGATCAACTTTTAAATATCCAACGCAATCCTTTACATTTCATTTCACGATATCACGAGCTCCGATTTTTAGGTTATTTTGTCAGTTTTAGTTGACCGGAAATAGCCTTGAGTTACCGTTAATTGTTTCCGTTAGAAAACTGCCCCCAGACGCGGGAAATTTGAAAAAGCGCGTTCCAAACAATGCAAATTGCGCAATATGGAGTCTATTTCAGACTTTTTTGATGTGATCATCGTAATTTTCGTGTCATTAGACCTCTAAAAAGTCTATTCGCACGGCTGTATCTCTTGCATGCAACAGGCCCATTGTGAACTGCGAGTTTACCATCCGCGGTAGAACCTAGAGCCCACCGCATCTTAATTTCACCCATGAAAATCATCTCCCAAACAAGATTTAGCAGCTTACAATAAAATTATCATTCGACAGATAGTAAAAGTACACAAGACGTCATTTTTTTTCTCCGTCTTTTATTTAATTTGTGTTAAGAGAATTGTAATTATTTTTTTCAGGAGTTGATTTTCTGAGCTTCCCGTTTTGTGAATCGCTTTCTACACGTAAAATTTTGAAGAGAAAACTTGTAACGGGTTCGTCTACTTCATAAGCCTTGTCTAGTGGCTCATTGCAAAATTCGGTCCACTTCTGTGTTGTACCTTACCAATTTGTTTCAATCCTCTTTTCTCTTTTCGCAGGGCAAGTCAAGAAACAACGGCCAACTTGGTGCTCAGTAGCGTGCTTCCGTCCGCAAGAGTATGCCGTATACTCGCCCCCATCTTACCATTCGCCCCCCAACACGCAAGTAGGGAGGTTTGGGGGAAATGGAAATGGAAATGGAAATGGGAATGGGAATGGGAATGGGAATGGAAATGGATCTCAAGGTATTTCTTTGTTAGCGTCTCAGTAAGGCTTTGTAACTTTTAAAATCGAGATGTTGCATGTGTGAGGAATGGGGAATAATGAAGCACACGTAAAAAAAAAGAGGCTTGCACGCAATTTTTTTTACAAAAATCGTCTGAATGCACGCAAAATTTATTGAACTGCGCGGTATTTTTTGCACGACATTTTAATTTGATACCACAGAATTCTGCTGCAAATTGAAACGAAAAAATAAATCAAATGAACTATAAATAAATATAAGCCCACTAACTCTGAATTTGATACAGCTCTACGGCTAATTAAGAAGGAAGACATGGGACAGTCGGTACGTAGGCAGGCGGTCTGTAAAAGTGAAGCAATGGAGGACTTTGAATTCATTTTTAAAGCCTTACCTGGTTTTGATATAGAGTGGAAACCTTCTGTATTGTTGGCTGATGCTAGGAACGCAATAACAAGCGGGTTTCAGCGCGTATTCGGTGTTCCGCGTGTTCGTATTATGTGCTTTTTCCACGTATCGGAAAATATTGAAAAACAACTTAAAGTTCTAACTAAAGGTCAGAGATACGGTGATTTGAAAGATGACATTCGCGCTCTACAGCTGTGCCAAAATGACATCGCATTTGAAAAAGCATCAGAGTTGTTTATGAAGAAGTGGACCTCAACGGGAGACGAAAAAGTGACAGAATTCGCGGTTTATTTCGAAACACAATGGCTTAAGAAATATTCAAAATGGTATAAAGGAGCTGCAGTGGGGTTCCCATCCACCAACAACGGATTGGAAGGAACAAATGCAGTCATAAAACGAGAGCACACGTTCAGAGAGAGGTTGCCTGTTGGCCAATTTTTGAATAGTGCAAATGACCTGGTAGTAAAATGGTCGGAGGCCAGAAATGCTGCATCAGTGAACGGCATCTCCTTCGCTGAGCGACCGACTGCTTCACTGAAGGAATGGACGTCTGCATACCAATGGGCCTCTATGAATAAGAAGGTATTAAAACAGTCAGTTAAAGATAGGTCACTGTTTTTCACGGCCTCCTCCACTATGTCTGAGAATATCACTCAAAAACGTCTAACCAAATTTAAAGCCGTGGCCGGTAAGTGGAAGACATTCGACCAATTTAAGCAGAGCCACTACAGCATTTGGACCATCTCGATTAATGAACCGGATACTAATGACTTAGTTTGCACATGCCCTCATTTCCTGAAAAAACACATTTGTAAACATACATTGGGAACGCAAATCCGGCTGAAATTAGTGAATGCACCACCAGAGGCCAAAACAATTCCGTTGGGTCAGAAGCGAAAAAGAGGGCGGCCCGCAAAAGCCAAGCAAGCTCTGTTGGTTCAAGATTAAGACGCTTCATTTTTAATATATCTCTTTTAAAAACATAATTTTAACAATACGACAAACAATACGTTTTTATGAATTTTTTATGAATTTTTAATGAACTTTAAGACGTCTGATTACCGCCCCTGCACTTTAAATTTGCGTGCGAGTTCCGATATATTTTCCTGTTCTTCACTTCATTTTTCGTGTAAGTATTTTTCTTCTGTTCACAACTTTGATTTTTCGTGCAACATTTTTTTCCATCGCGTGAATTCTTTTTTAGTTGCGTGAATTATTACTTACTGTGACATTCATTTTCGATTTCGTGATAAACATACTTTTTCCGTGAATTTACCTTTTTTTTTGCTTGCCGATAAATGCAACCCGTGAGGAATTTGCGATTTGACTTTAATCCTTCTGTAAAAGTTTGCGAGAAACACGATGGTGCCACTGGTTTTCTCTGAAATCAACTCCCAAGCTCAAAAAAACCTCTCAAGATGAGGCCAAAATGGAAGGGATATCCCACGCTATCCTGAGAGTCTACATCTACATCAAAACAAACTCTCCATGCAAGATAGGGAGCAAATACATTAGCAGGGTTGGCGTGTTTTCAGTTTTAGAGTTCCCAAATAAAGTGGCAGCCCTGTCAATGTATTTGCTCCCTATCTTTGCATGGACAGTTTGTCTTGATGTAGAGGTGGACTCTCTGGATAGCGTGGGATATCCCCTCCATTTTGGCCTCAACTTGAGTACTTTTTTGACCTTGGGAGTTGATTTCAAAGAAAAACAGTGACACCATCGTGTTTCTCGCAAACTTTTACATATGAGTCGTCAGTCAAATCCCAAATTCCTCACACATGCAACACCTCCATTTCCTAAATGGGGTTTTGTAAAAGCCCTGTCAACACTAACAAAATTTCAGTTCCATAAACCCATTCCTGTTTGGACAAGGCCTTTCATTTATAAAAAAAGAACGAAAAAATCATGAAAGAACAAACATAAATGTGGTTAAAAATTTTAACTTCCACCGCCGCACCGACCGCACTGTATGTTGGCGCAATGCGTGAGGTATTCATGCAGTCTTGCAGGTGCTATGCGTTTCATGCCTACCGCTGCTGACCTCACTGTTTTAACGCAAAGCGCGAAGTATTCATGTAGTCTTGTAGGCGCTATGCGTTTCAAGCCGACTGTTGCTGACCGCAGTGTGTTTGACGCAATGCGTGAAGTATCCATGCAGTCTTGTAGGCGCTATATGTTTCATGCCGACGGCCGCGCGCACCGCTCCGTTCCAGGTCTAATCGCGTGTTTGGTTTCTCTCTTAACTCGACTTTTTAAAGGTGTTGTCTCTTGTATCATACCCGCAGACGCGGGAATCTTAAATAAAACGTGTTACAAACTACGCAGAATGCGCACTAAATAATGAATTTCAGACGTTTTTGACGTGCCAACGTGATTTCCTTGCGATTTAACCTGTGCGTACAGTGTAGATTCATTTGGTTGTATCTTTTGCGTGTAGTAGATCTATTGTACTAAAAAAGTGCAAAGGTCTCATCTTGAAAGCTTCCGAGCCGTTTCAAATCTTCTACTTCAAATGGACCACTAGACAAGGTACGGATTTCAGCATTCTGATACATGTTTGTTCCAATTAACCAAAATTAACTAACCAAAAATTTCACGTAGAACACGATGCGCACAACGAAAATTACCGATATCAACTCCTTACAAAGATATTTAATGATTCTTGATGCGTAAATGACAACCACCCGCTCATGAAAACTCAATGCTGTATACGTGATTCACAGCGCACGCTAAACGTTTACATGACAGTGTCTGCGATTTAAAAATCTGGCAACCTCAATTTTGACGCTTTGGCTCAGCTATAGCAAATTGCTTATAGTGTGAACAACACATGGTGGGAAATGAACATTGCTCGATTGAGAAGCTTGCTGAAACCTTTGTAACACGCGATTTGACTCACGTAGAGCTTCGAGTTTCTTGTGAGCGGGCAGTTCAAATTTCTCGCAACCAATGTGAAATAAAAACGTTTATTTCTTCGTTAGGAGTTGGTTTCAGTAATTTTCGTCGTGTGAATCGTTTTCTACGTGAAATTCTGGTTAAGAAATATGTATCAGATTGCTTAAATTCGTACCTTGTCTAGTGGTCCATTATAAGGATGTGTCTTGTAGGAGTCTCACTCTGATCATGTCTATACTGGTTTATTATCTTATGTTTACCGCAGACTTGGAGACTAAACGCACCGAATAAAACTGGGGACAGAAAAGATCGGACAAATGCTACTTTAGTAAATGGCGCTATTTTAACAGAAATTCAAGTGCTGAACAAAAGGCTAACCGCTAATTGATGCATATTGGCTGATGTGACTTTTGTCAAATCTTTTCTTTCCTCAGTTCTAACAATTTCGGACAGCCGAGATGAAAAATTTGAGGAAAGTAGCGTTTTCAACTTTGGGATCGGTAGATCGGTGAGTCCATCAGGGATGCGTAATTGCTGTGCTAAGGAAAAACACCGTTTAAACATTTGACAGTCGTCAAATTTCTTTCCATAAATTTCTATTTTTTGGGAAAAAACATTAATATTTTTTCTCAATATCTTCAGAAACTTTGGGAGAGATTGGGAGCACAATCATTCGAAAAATTGCAGTTTAATATCTAAAACTTTCAAGGACAGATAAACTTCCTGCCAAAATGAACATTTTAGCGAAGGAGATTTAGCAACTCTCGAATTTTCATAAGGCGTTTTTCCTTCACGGAAAAAAACTGCTGAAGTAACATACTGAATGTTTAAAATCTGCGCGACACCTCTGAATGTTATTATTGACACTCCGGCTGTTCATTTAACACCCTAGCTACATTGAATTCACAATCGTACCGGTCGTATCATCATTCAAGATTTGTCAGTTTTCACGGAGATTTGGAACATCCAGAATGTTAAAACATTCTGGATAGTCGGTTCATTCAACCGAGCTTTATCGTTGATTCTGTTCGATTTGAATACTCGGTCGCATGAACCGATGTTACGGCTCCCAGAACCGTGAGAGCAGTTACATGAACCGAACAGTACGGCCAATATTGAACACCGCACATACGGTTCATACGACCGAATTTTTTTTCTCAGTCTTTTTTCAGCCATTTTTTATTTTCTGCACGACACGGCAGAAAGGAGCTGTCGACGCGGCAGTCTCACCGTCACACAGTGCGGCCCTCTGTGGACAAAAGTCCAAAATTCACAACTCGATATTTGAATCTTTTTTTTTTGGATGTTTGTCATCTTCATGATATTCCTGACTCAAAATGATGGTTTCTTATCTAATTTTTCGCCTAAAACTACTTAAAATTTGGCGAGAAAGTGGGCGGAAAATGGGTCGAGAATCACTGGTCCATTGGAAATACATGGGAAAAAGACGCCGCCAACTTCGAATGAAGATTTCTCGCTTGAAACGCAAAATGCTCAGGGTGGTTAAAATTTTCTTAATCTTCGTATATCCAACTTCACTTCTACGAAAGAGATCCTGCGAATTTTTTCGACTATCAGAGATATTTGAAGTCAAAGTTTGGGTGTTTTACGTTGCTTTTACATTGTTAACATACGGCTAATTCCAGGTTGTCAATTGAGAATGAGCTTTTCTCGAAAAATACGCTAAAACTCCTGAGATATAATATTTTCTTATTCCTCAAGTGTTTAACTTTGATAGTGCCAAAGGGTTTTCTATGTCGGTGCTACTCATAGAGTACATAGAGTCGTAATGTAAATGGGAGAGCTGGCGCCATGTTCTGCTCGACGAATTCCGAGCCCGGTGTGCGCCGAGTTCGGGTCGCTTTTTCGATTCATTTTCGATCCAAAATGGTGGTGTGGAATACGTGGTAATTCTTATCTCCGTTGTTGTTGTTGTTGTTGTTGTTGTCATCGGATGGCCGGGTACCCGTGTATCGCAAACAATCGATTATGTATCGAAAAAGTGACCCGGCGTCACACAGGAATCTCGGAATTCGGGACGTGGAAAATGCTTAAAAGTGGCGCCAGCTCTCCCACTTACATTACGACTCCGTGTACTCTATGGTGCTACTATCTTCATTATTTAAATTTACGTGTCTTTTATCAATTTTTGTCCGCATCGTCCATAAGGAGGCCGCACTGTGCGTCGGTAGAAGAGGGAGACTCCCCCTGGAATAATGCTTTAATTTCAATCAATTTTGTGGAAAATTTAGGAAGCAGCCCCCCGTCAATACCAGGATCAATTGTGTACTATACCCGCGGGCCGGATCTAGAGGAGTTCAAGCGAAAGTACCCACAACACGTTTCCGCAATTTCAATGCCTTATGGTGATCCAGGAGCCAGTTCGTCCTCAGGCCCGAAAGTTTCATCCCCAAGGCGCCCCAGACTCAGCCTCAGCGGTAGCTTTGGCAGCTTCTCCCCAAGAAGAAGCCCTGGCCGTGAGTATATAACACGGCTCTTAAACATTCTTTAACATTTTAAACATCTTGAACATTTCTTAAACATTCCGATTGTCAAGGCAAACTGGCTAAATTTTATGAGATTTCAAACCGCGAGGTACTTCACAGGAAAAAAAGAGATGGTGCTGACGACAGAACCTTCTGTTCACAGGGCTCCTGCCGTTTCTTCGTTACACTTACAGAATTTCTCTATTGTGAGAACAGAACTTCGGTCGTGGGAACAGAGTACTCTGTCCTCAAAACGAAAGCTTCTGTGACTGTTACAAAAGAAGTGCAGGAGCCCTGTGAACAGAAGTATTTTTTTCAGTGCGTATATTTCTAAAAATTACGAAATATGATTTAAATATACAATCTGTTTGCGGTGGACGCACGGGTCGTGAGTATGTTGGAGTTTTTTTCGCCAACGTGCGTTAAAAATTCAGCATTAAGCAGAAATTCTCATTACATGAACGGCCGCTTCATTGAAGAGGCCCCCTTAAATGGGCGAAACTATAGTGTTGCTTCAAACAGCATATCTCTTTGAGGGAAATCAGTGCCCTGATGAGCTTTTCCCTTTGTAATGATAATTTCAGCATAATGTGGAATTTTTAAGGCACGCGTTGGCGAAAAAAACTCCAACGTATGATTTAAATATGTTTCAAATTATCTGTATCAGCTAAATACTAAATAGTTATCACAACTCTGTCAATATTTTTTTTAGCAACATTAGTTCGTCGTCTCCCGGACAGTGTGGGTTGGTTCCTCTCTGCAATGAGAAAAATAGTTCTGTTCATAGAGCTCCTGCTCTTTCTTCGTTACATCTGCAGAATTTTCCGTATCGAGGACAGAGCGCACTGTACTCACGACCGAAGCTCTGTTATCTCACGACAAAAAAGTTCTGTAAGCATAACAAAAAAAGTGTAGGAGCCTTGCAGGTGCAGGGGGCTCTGTCATCAACACCGGCTGTTGAGTGTTGAGTGTGATAACTTGGATTGCATTTTGCAAAAAGGAACCACTAGCATTGCAATGTTGCTAAAATTGTGCAACTTCTTTTGTCTTGGAGGAAAAACCCGATTATCCATTCATAGTTCCTATTTTACTCGATAAAAACTGTAAATTTAAGACACACATTACCATCTAAATCTCATAGTTTTTCACGATTTCCGCAATTTTATTGCAAAAGATGAAATTGCACAATCTTAGCATCATTGCAATGCTAGTGGTTTCTTATTGCAAAATGCAATCCACTTGGTCCAAATGAAGCTTAAATTGGGTGGTTTTAGATATCATGTTCATGCCGAAGGTCTGATTAAAAATAGGTTTTGCCTCTAATGAATGTATCCTTTTTTTTATCATCCCTCAGCCGAATATGACAGGCAACTGTGGGATTGCTGGAACGATTGCATCTTGTACCATGGTTACTTCAGGAAGAACACTTTTTTAAACCAATCAGGCCAGACAATGAAGCGGATAGCGGATCCGAAATTGGTGCCGGCGTCAGCAGCTCTCTCTCGAAATCTGAGTTTTGGGACTCTCAAGATCACCGCTCCTTTTCAGGGTAGTGGCGAATTCCTCCCAAAAGCAGGGAGAGGGGGAGGGGGAGGGGGAGGCACAACATCTAGAAGTGATTCTTCCAAAGAATCGTCCCCTCGGTTCCCAACCCCCAGGGCCGATCCCCAGAATAAAAGTAATTGGAAATGCTTTTGCAAACTTTCTGAAGATTTGCTTGAAGTTCTGAAGGACTATAAAAAAGACGTGAGATCATTCGTGAAAAACAACCGACTCCTGGAGGAAGAGCTCCAAAAATTCCTCGAGAAACATAAGTATGAGATCATCCCTTACTATCAACTCGGGCAAACAGCAGAGGAAAGTCTGCTTGGCAACAATGTGCAAACTATTTGAGGTGGCGAAGACTTTGAATTCAGTGGAAGTAGAGTACCTTTACAGGGAGAGTATGAAAAACTCGAAAATTTGGAGGTTAGTTTCGATCAGGTCATGTAAAGTCACTTTACACTGAGAGCCAAGACGAAGAGAATTCATTTCTGATTGGTTCCCGTATGTCAAGCCTCCCACAGTGTCACAAACGGGAATAAAGATTACAATTTCACCGATTGCAAAGATTATAATGTAGTATGGACCGGGGGAATAACGGGTTCGACAAGGAACAAACGGAATGAGAGAAGGAACGGAGAAAGGGATTTGAGAATGAGCCGGTCAAAGATTACGAGTAACTGCCAATTTGTGTAATTATATGTATTATTCCCGAATTTGACTCCATCAGGAGGGTTTGTCTTGACTCTCAGTATAAATGGACTAGCTCTAAGGTGATGCAGCTCTTGGGGCCTCAAAGGAGAGCCAACGTATGAACTCGAATTATCCTGTGATACTAATTTTCATAATTCTTACTACCCGCCGTTTCGTAACTGATCAACCATTATAAAAGGACGTAAAAAACTTTGATTTCGTTTACATTTTCTTAGTTTCAAAGTTTTGATCCTTGAAGACGCTTGTTTGTTATGCGTTGTCGGCCATATTGAGTGATCTTCCAAATGCATAGGTTTGCAGCGGCACTTTTCCAGGGATTTTCGTTTTCCACGTTGTCGCCCTTTTTGGCCCTAAGAGCTACATAGACCGAGCTGTCCAAACTCTCCCTATAAAGGCACTCTAAGTGGAAAGACACAAGTTAATTTTAATAAAGAAAAACACCCTAAGAAACTTGGCCCGAATTGTTTGTAACCAGGTGGTAAAATAGTGTTGGATGGACCTGAACGTTATCCACAGATCTCTCGGCATGACCTCAGCTTAATATTCCAATAGAATGTGATTTAGTGGCTACGTCATTCGATATAATATCGAACCCTTGGTTCGAGTGTAAACAAACGCAGAACCTTGTTTCTGATTCGTGCCCGTTGCACCAGGGTTGTAAAAAGCGTCCAAGTAAGTGTTTCTTACATTCAAAAGTTCTCGTATTTGAATAGTCTTTGATTGATTTATGACCGATCAATGACTGAATTTTAATAAATTAACATAATTAACTCATGAAGAATTTGCACATGAGGTCATGTTACTTATTGTTTTGGTTTGAACCAAGAGCCCAAGAGAGGATATTATCGTAGTCACTAAATCAGTTTACTCATCTGCCTGAGCTGAACACTGCCTCCCCCCTTTCCCCCTCAGCCTTGTACTGATACTCATTAGAGCTCAAAGTTGTTGACTCTGATCAAAATTTTTGAACTTTTTTGGCTTTGTTTTTCCCAAAAAGTAGCGTGGGCACAGCACTATTTTACCACCGTGTTTATTTCAATCTTGGTTCATAATGTATACAATTGTATGCGCAGAAACAAGGCGAATAACCACCTTCAACTATCTCAATCGGAAAACCACACACGGTGACATTTTGGTGCTTACTGATTGGCTCTCTTCAGAAAAAGCATGAAAAGTTGAAAATACCAACGTAGGAATCAGTATCAAAATCCGGTCGTCGCCAACCATAGGATTGCCAAAATGTTTAAACATTTGACAACTCCCGCCATAATTTTTTTTTTTTTAATGTCAAGTGTGCCGACACCTTTAGATCACTGAGCTAATCCGAACCAATTTGGCTGTATAATAAATCTTGTTTACCAATAACGTGATTTTTTGTTTTTATATCTTGGACTTGGACCGATTGAACAATGCTTATAAAAGTACACTCCAAGCGTGTGGCATCTGTAAGCACAGTTGTATCTTGTTATAACGTTTCCCGAAACAACTTTGCTCGAAATAAATTTTTTCCCGTAGACAGTGTTCATTTTATCAAGTCCAGGCCAGTTATTTCTCATTGGACCCTTGGTCGAAATAATGTTTCTCTGGAAATAGCGCTCTACTTTTGATGCCCCCTCAAAAACGTTATAAAAAGATACGACTGTATGAGTTCATACCCATTTCATAGCATGGCAGCTATTAATTTCGCCAATATTACCATACTACAAATCCATAATTATTTCAGGGGAAGGACATGAAAAATGAGTTATTTTGATGCGAAGTTCAGGTTACTATCCTTTTATTTAAAAATGGCAGCCGGTCAAAGTTCAAAATGACCAGAAACAGCATCTCCCCAACTTGCGAGCCGTAACCTGATAGCCAGGGCGTTTTCGACGTTGAATACATATTCCATGCTATTTTCTTAAAATACTCTGTCTTTTTTAAAATGACGAGAAAAATTGATTTGTTTTTGGTTATTTACTTTATGCTTGGCATCCGCAGATTTTCTCAAGACACCGAGCAGGAGTTTTCCGACTCTATTTTTTTCAAAAGTCAATCTCAGAGGTGATTGTTGCAATTTGGCATCGGGGTTTTTTCTTTATATAAATTAGTGTTGAAGTGAGGCACCCTGTCTCGCCAAGAATCGATATATTCAATGGATTCCAATTGAGTATCCAATCGGTGCCAACTTGCTGAAATCGCCACTGCTCGACCCTTTCCAAAATAATGGTTCCAGATGGTACTTTGCGTGATGAACGTCACGTCATCATTAAGGATAAGTCCGCGGTTGCGTTAGGAAGGGGGAGGGGGGTCAAAAATGCCGGAAAAAGGCGTTACGTAATTTACGGCGTTACGTTGTCTACAGTCAGAGAAAGAATATCCTGAGTACTAGAGAGAGGGTTTTCACTCCACAAAATGACGCTAAAATATCACTCAGGAAAGCACAGTCTGCTCTGCAGTAGAAGATATTTTACGAAAGTTGGATTTTTTCCCCTCTTTTTTTAAAATATTTTTTTAGGTGATTCATCCTGTTTCGATATTGCAACTTAGAGGTAAAATTCTCGTGCGTAACATCTGACGCTGAATTAAAAAAAAAAACTGTTCCATTAAAAGGCTTCGAGTGTAAAGTTGCCAAATTATTCAGGAAAATACTTTTAGACCATTTCGGTGAAATTTGGCAACTTTGTCTCGTTCAATTTTCTATCTCTCCTGGAAATCCAATCCGTGGATGCTCTGATGAAAACAATGTCTTTCTGTCAATTATTTTCCAGGAACCTAGACAATAGAGTCAGCTGCAAACTTCAGGTAGAGCAAAAACAAGATTTGTCACCTCGAGTTTTTTTTTTTTTTTTTTTTTTTTTTTTTTTTTTTTTTTTAAAGTTTTTTGAGGTGAATAATCCATTCGAGGATTCTGCAACCATGAATGAGCATCGGGTTAGGGTTAGTGCACATCCACGCGGCAAAGCGTTCAAATTTCCAGGGTTTAAGGCCGAGTGGAATCTGTTTCTGCAGATCCACTCGTCAGTTCCATGAACATTTGTCGCCACCACCGAGATTCGAACCCGGATCCTATTGCCTTAGAGTCTGACGCGCTGACCACTAGGCCAACCTGACCGACGACTAACTTAAAAGCGCTAAATAATATCAATAAGCGCATTGGCAAGTTTCATCCGTGAGCTCAGAGCTCGCAGTCTGCGTAATAAATTTGGGTTTTTGTGAGCCTCCCGCTCCAAGTACACCACGACTTTACAATAAACTGTATTATAATAGCAGCAATGTAAACAGGGTGATTCAAAAGTCACGCACCACCGGCCATAACTTTAGTTCTAATTATGATATCGACTTGCGGTTTCAGACGTTTTTCTTCTTTTTTTTTCTACTGGTTTAATGGCTTCGTGTCTATTGCACCTTCAGCCAACTTTAGACAATGTTTAGTGTCCGTAGACATCAGGCTCCATGCTCCAGGCTTTTCTAATTTTCAGGGATTAGGGCCGAGGAGAATCTGTTTCAGCAGATCTACTCGTCAATTCCGTAAAAATTAGACGCCACCACCGGGATTCGAACCCGGGACCTATTGACCTAGAGTCAGACGCGCTGACCACTAGGCCAACCTGGCCGGCTGACGTTTTTCTTCATATCGAGGAGGAAACTTTTTTAGGTACTTTCCAGTTTTTGATCCCCTCGGGGCGGGGGGCAACTCGAAAATTTCAAATGGCCACCCCCCTCATGGCCAATGGTGCGTGACTTTTGAATAACCCTGTATGATAGTTGTTCATAGTGAGTCTGTTGTACGCAAGATACACAATCAAGTGAACAGACTTTTCTAGGATAAAATCGCATAAAAATCCGGGTAAAGGCACATATAAAAAGCCTGAAATTAATCTAATAGTGGTGCGCATTCAAGATATTTTGAAACACGCTTTTTCAGGTTTTCCGGATCCGTGGGTAATTTTGCTCAGTCACTGGCAACTAGCGGAGGAGTAAGAGAGGCTGTCCTTAAATTACGTAACGTGCATTATCGGCATTTTTGAAACCCCACCACCCTTGCAGTGCTTTTGTACATAAAGCGTAGTACAAACTGCGCGTAATGCGCTGAAGAGTAGTTTTTAGACATTTTGATGTGCCCGACGTGATAGTCGTGCGAATTTGCCTCTCCTTTCACTTGGCTAAGTCTCTTGCGTGCAATAAACCCATTACAATACAAAACAAGCAGTGAACTCCAACACAATGTGTTGATAAGGCGCGTCATTAACTCGCACATATCAACCCCTTTAGTTTTCATTTACAGAGATTTCAAAATAGGCAAGAAGCACAACAAGAGAATTCATACGATCCAACACTGCGAGGTCAACGATGCACTTCAACGAGACCGTGTATTGTGAATGTGAAAAGCCATTCGAACGAGTTTAAGTTTTTTGATCTGCCCCAAGCAAAACCTTATCAGATTCTTAAAGAAAAGTGCTACGTAATAATTTAAGCAAAGAAAGAAAAAAATTTTGTCGAACTCCTGAAAGATAAAGTCGATTTAAAGGTATTTTGGGGCTGAAATACCCAAATCACCGGCATTATAAATCCCGTTATACTATTGAAAAGAAATTGACTCGATATAAATGCAATTACATTAGATACGTCTTGATTTTTTATTTTAAACGTATTTCCATGCAAAGAAGTTCAACCATGTCCATGCTTTATTA